GCTTAGCACCAGTAATATGAAATGCCTCAAATGGAATCACAACACACCTAGGATAAAGGTGGCTTTTGAGAGAGAATTCCATGCACCAAACACCTCCATATTTATCTAAGAAAAGAAGTGGTGATCCATGGTTCATGTGGCTTTTGAGAGAGAATTCCAAGGGTCATGGGTATCACCCATAATCCATACCCATGGGTTTTATGATCCATGGTTCATGTGGCCCAACTCTTTATGTATCCATACATAAACTTGGTCCAACATGGATCATAAGCCCAACACATATAAATATAAATAATTATCATAATTAGTCCCCATAGATTGAATTAGTCACTTTTGATCACTAAATTAATTCCAAATTAATTCTTGATCGATACTAATTAAAACATATGATTTCATATTAATATATTATAACTTATAGTATATTAATAAACCATAAATAACCTTCTCTCAAAAGTCCATCCTAACAAATTGTTCTGATGATATGCAACCCAAATGGACCATGCTACTATTGGGTCAAGTACATACCAATAATAGTTATGGGCTTAGACATCTAATCCAATAGTCTCCCACTTGGATAAGTCTAAAACTATTATTGCAAGTACGACTTCATAACTCGACTAGCAATCGTAGCTCTTAAAGCCGCTATCGAACTCTGAACAAATCAATGATGCATCCATTAGATAAGGGGTCATATATTCCTCCATTCTAGATATCATATGGACTGAGAAATGGATTATAATCATTCTCTCTGTCCATTTTTTGTTTCCCGATTTCCGATTTATGACGACTGACTAATTGAGCAAATCAAATCAATCCTGGCCCGGCCGAGCACTTCCATTTGTCATCATCAAATCATCGAGGGGCCCATAGATTTCTATTTTATCCCGAAGGTAAAAGGAATGGATAAACTTCGACTCATATGGCTTGTTCTACTACTTGTTGAATCATACACAAAGGCACGTTTTATAGCATCGAGTTACCAATGCGTTTTCGTGCAATCAATGTATAACCAACTCATAGTAACAACTCATATCTCTAGGTTTGAAGAATATAAGATATCATTGTCTCATGATCACTCGTGATAAAATCCATGAAGTGATTCCAATGAGCGCGGGTTGAATCCAATACTCAGAACTTATGAGTAATCATGAGTGTTGTAGCACCACCTTGTCCAACATCTTAGACCTCTACAAACCCAACCCATGACAGTCTTGATTCATATCTACTTCCAACATATGACCAATTATGGATGGTTTGAATAACTTAGTCAATCAGAACAATGACCTAGTTATTCTAGAAGTCACAACATGCAAAGTGAAACACAATAATAATCGAATCCAATATGGTATCAGAACTTATGAATATAAATAAAACACCTTTTATTTATCACCATATGATTAAACATTATTCAATGTATACTGTTTCAGCTATCAACTTTATTCTTGAATTAAAACAATAGTTGTCCCATGCTCCAAGCATGTACACTATGTTTTTCTAAACACTAGTCATGCCACAAACCAAGTATGCATACTATGTTTGTCTATGATCTTTACTTTGTGAAATAGATAAATTGAACATAACTCCAATGATTCTCATTTCACAGTCGCAAATCTTACTGCAAATGCAAGAATTCCAAATTCATGCCATTTACTGAAATCTCTTAGATTCTAAACTTATATGCATTGATCCTCTTGTAATGATTATGCACAAATTCTTAAATACTTGGCAAAAATCATTATAGAGTATTCCAAACGAGATCAACTCCTTGGAAACATCCTTCTTGCATTAAGTTTCCTACTCATACAGATTGAATACTTTCTAACTTTGAAGCATTTCCATATTCCATTTTGACTATCACTTATGAACAAGAGTTGCCTCCTTACAGATTATGTCAATATGGTCCTTCCAGAATTAATAATATACTTCCAACTGTCCTTGAGCAACCAATATTTGGTAAACCTTAGATTATCCTCAATAATTGCTTAATCATTTTAGTCATATCAATTTATAGACCTTTTTCCCTTCTTTATGCCCCAGGCATTTGGAAAAACTTAGAAAGAGTGAATTATAGCACATGTAATCGATCCTATATCCGAAGCATATGGGACACGATTCATGATGTCTCACATAAATACTAAACCATTCTTTTGCTATAATATTTCCATTTCTATTTGCCAAGTTCTCATAATTCAGATTATGAAAAGGGATGTCGTAATCATAATCGAATTTCAGAACGCAAATAATAAACCCATATATAGAATTTCCTTATGTTGAGCCATCCCAACATGAAATTCGTATATATTCTTAACTAAATACGATGAATTTCAGAACGCAAATAATGAACCCATATATAGAATTTCAGAACGCAAATAATGAACCCATATATTTGAGATGAAGTATAATTTCCTCTCCCTTAATTATAGCAAAACAACTTTTCCAACCCCTGCAACCTCACGAATTGAAACTTTTGTTTTCTATAATTAACATTGCTAACTTGCAATACTTATGATAATTATCATGCTCCCACTAACATGATGATTATTAGCATAACACTTATGCTCCCACTAGCTTTGACATGTACCCAGAAATCAACTGAACTTCTAGAAATCAATACTTTATTGACTTTCTTACCAAAGTTTAGATTTCTGATACTAGATTGCCTTGATAAAACTTTATCAATATCATACACCTCTCTTAGATAACTCACATGTGTGTCTAAACAGTTATGAAGAGGAATGCGGTAATCATAATGTTTAGACCTTTTGTCATTCCCATAATTGCTATCTACTCAAAATCTACTTAGTGAAAGAGTTTCCTTACCATTATTTTCATGAATCGAAGAGAAACCTTATGAAACTTAGATTTAATGGTATATGTGTTCTTATCCATGTGAATTGTCAAAACCATAGTCACAAGATAAGGATAATGACAAATCCAAACTCATATGGATTGAACTTGTGCAATCTTAACTTCTTGCCACCTGGCAGCTCAAGGGCCTGCCATTGCTTCCAAGTAGTTATGCAAACAATTGAGAACATGTAGAACTCAAATGTATAGCCAAATTAACTGGAATGGGCACAAAAATGTCAGCATGATAGGTTATAAACCTCTACTTGTGTGCTAGCGATGAAATACATGTTTTATTCTTGATTACTTCTTGAAACCTTTTTCTGGATCTTTTAGACTCCCACTGTCTCCTTGACCTCACTACAAGAAAAAGACCCTTTTACGACGCACAAACCACGACACTCATTGATTTATGTTACGCAAAAGAGAGTGACATTAAAAACGTGTCGTCTCTTCGAAAAATTGAAGGATTTATGTCACACATTATTGCGTGCCCTTAGATTAGTGTCTCGTGTAAAAAAACTAAAAACACCTAGGGAACTTTATCTAAAATGTGCGTCCTCTGTGAATATCGCTTTATGTTTTACTCAGAACCCACGTTCTTGAAAGGGGGAAATGAAATCCCCAAAAATTAAAACCCCCCTATTCTATGTGAAAAATTAAAACTCGCACCTGTTCCAATTGCAAGAAAGAAGCCTAGGGTCTTCGTCTTCCTCTCTCTCCCCCTCTAACCTAAAACCCAACCTTCGATTTCATAGAGATTGTTACTACGATTTAAGAAGCAAAGAAGAAGACAAGCAAGAATAATACTACTAAATTCCACAAAATCGCAGGGACTAGGGCTTTTTTTCAAGAACGGAAACACTTGGTGCTCTCTGGCCTCTGCAACAATCGATCGATAATCTCGCCTCACCTCGCCGGCAACATCTTTTCTTACTTCTCCTCCAATGACCTTAGGGGTATTTTACTCCGGTGAACCCGGGCTCATGTGACCTCGTCGAAGACTACACAAATTTCCACACCCCAGCCCGACTAAGATATGCTTTGGTTATTCTCTCTTTCTAATCTTTTCGTTCTTCTTTTTCTTTAACTTCTCCTCTATTCATAGCTTTGATTTCGATTTTGGATCTTCTCATCTTCTCCTGTGTAAAACCCTAACTGAAAAACTATGCAGGTTTCAATGGCAATTTCCTCATCATTCCACAATACTCACTTCTACTCTCTAAGCATCTCAGGTACGCTTTGTTCCTTCTCCTTTATTTTAATTATTCTTGTTTGATTTCTTAGGTGCGATATCCTACCCCCTACTTTTCTGCTTCTCGATCCCATTCTGATACTTTGTTAGTAGTCGCACATAGCACCTCACACACATACTCACATTTAATATTTTGAGCATAAATTCGAGAATATGTTATGGTCCGACGAATTTTTTGTGTGTTTATCTTATCCAAGGTTTGAACTTTTTGTATTATGCTAAACTACATCTATCATGCTGTTACTTTCTGAAGTTTTATGTTTCTTTTATCACAATGATTGTTAAAGCAAGTAGTGGCCCAAGGTATGTGGTCGGTTTCATAACTGATTCAATTTTGATGAGTAAACAGGTTAGATTTCTTATGGTTGTTTGTTTAGATTGGTATTCATCCTAATTTTCTTTCAATTATGCAACAACTATGATGGAATTTCTTGTGTTCCATACTCGGATTATGAATTTATTGGAAAACTGAATAATTAATCTGCAAAAATACCATCTTTGGATGATTTGTTTGTCATCAGACTATCCAAGTGACATGCTTGCATGCTACTGGGGTTTAGTCATGCGACATGGTATGCTATTACTATTGATAGTACAAGAAAGCAGAACCAGTTTGTTATTTGTTTATGCCTAAAGCCTAAAGCCTAATCTATTATGATTATCTATGGGATTCATTCATTTGGTTGGTTTGTAGGCATTTGTGGTGATATGGTCATGTCTAACCATGAGTATTGGTCATCTTTGGCTACTCTTCCTTTTGAATTTGTGGTTTCAGCTGGCCAAAAGGCATAGGAAGAATGCTGGAAAAAATGCTAGTAACTCCACTCATCCTTTACTATCTATATAGCCATGTGTTCCAAGGAAGAATGATGGGATGCTCTGAGCTTCCCATCTCAGCATGACAGGAGAGCAGATCTCTGTGCCTAGTAGTCCCAAAAACGGGGAGGACCATTCTGCTGCTGAACCAATTCCAAAGGTACTCTGCTGAAAAGTAACTGGTTTTGAGCCTACCATAACCTAAAACTGGTTTCAGTATAATTCATGTCCTTTAGAATTACTTAGCAGACACAAATTAGGAACAATGATAGGAGTCTTTATTCCATGCTTGCAAAACATTCTGGGAATCATCTACTACATCCGATTTCCTTGGTACATAACATAAATTTTTGTGGATCTTCTTTTATCTTTCTACCAAGAACATGAATATTCTTGAAGGGATTTTGAGTATAATGTGAACTGAAACTTGGCAGGATTGTTGGCATCGCTGGCATAAAAAGAAATCAAAAGAATTATCATCTCTTTATGCCACACAAGAGTTTTCAGCACACAATGGTTACATATCAATCATAAATTTCAGTCATGATGGCAGATACTTAGCAAGTGCTGGTGAAGATTGTATTATCCGCATTTTGAAAATTTTTGAAGAAAGAAAAATCTCTGCTTTCCCTACTTGTTGCATGTGAGACATGTCCACACAAGCCTCTTAACTATGAGATATATATTTTCACCATATATTAGTAATAAAAAAATAAAAAATTGACTTGATAATTGATTCGTACACTACACTACAGGGATGTGCACTAGTGGCATTCATGATATGTACAGGAGTGTCTTTTGCCTTTATAATTGGAACTGTGCTAACATGGAGGACCTTGGCATTGACAGGTTTTAAATTAGTCTAAATTATATTTATTTACTACTAGTGGCATTCTTATGGATAAAGAAAATAAAAGGTGATGAATTCTAGTGTTCTGTTTGCAGGATTAATCCCTTGTGATGTTCTGTTAGTGGGGCTTTTCTTTGTAGCAGAATCTCCTAGATGGCTCCGTTGACCCTTTTGCAGTTACATAAGCATGAAAAATATGATGAAGAAGTTGGCTGTGGAATTGATGAGCCTGTCTTCATAGTAAATTTTACGAACAAGGAGCTTCACATAGCAAACAATGGTGAGAATTAGAAAAAAAAATTGACTCCATGGCATTGATTTTCTGATACTCGTGTTGGTTTTGGTTGCAGTTGTCAGGGTTCACAAAGCTGTAATGGAAAATCTTAGGATTCATGGTAGAAAATCAAGATTCTAAAAGGAGCATGTATTGGATTCCACAAAACTAATATCAATGCTACATTGGAATACATCATTCTTGAAGGATTTCAAGGGGATGCTGGTGAAGCATGGATAATATGCAGGTGGACCATCTTATATATAATATCATCTTTATTTTATTCATTTAATTTTTAGTATCTGATAGTTTTTTTTGGTTCAAATTTACAATTACAACTCTCGTTTGGAAATTTGAAGGCAGATTGAGGTGTTAGAAGAAGATGGCTGTCTCCTTGAATTTCCTAATGGAAATCCCACTTTTTATTTGCGAAAATATGAATTAGTACCTATAAATGTCATTTATTCTTGAAAGGTTAGGACTTTTTGTTATAACCCTAGGGGTTGTTTCTTTATTTTTAACTTAATGGGCTAGATGGGTTAACTATACATTGCTATTTTTTTAACATAATATGGACATCTTGATTATAGCGGTTAAGCCAAAAAAAACATGGCTTAATGTGTTAAGACGCTACCCTCTTAACCTAATTGTCCTTTTTTCTCCCAACTCCTCATGTTAAAATTGATGAATATTGGGAATTTGTTTTCTGGAACGTAAGGATAAAATGGTCATTTAGTCTCATTCAGACAGGTCTATAAAATAAACAGACCGTACACATACAACACTTTATCTAGACAAATATTATCACCCATTCAAAACTTATTTGGAAAAAAGAAAGAAACAACCCTTAGTCTACTTGCAGTTATGTTTTCTGTTAAAAAATTCTTTGAAAAATGACTACTTTTTGAACAATGATTTATTCACTAGTGTTTGGTTGTTGAAGGTTCTGAATGGTTAACCAACTTAAGAAGCAATATTATAAATGTCCATCATCAATTCAGATACTAAATAGAAGACAATGTCAGAAATTTGGAATAATTCGGTTAGTACCACTTCCTCCAATCAATTGTCATTTATCCTCTTTGTGAAAAAAAATGTATATTTGAATTTGATTGATGGTGATGTTTCTTTACTTTCTTCTTACAGTAGATGCGGATGAAGTTGATGCTTCACATGTATCACCATGTGACATTGTTGCTGTCATTCATCCTGCTACTTATAAATCTGGGATTGCGTGTGAAGAATTAGATCAAAAATATGAGATGAAAGATAACTTTGAGATGTCATTATCAGTTACATTTTCTGAAAATGGAAATGGAAATGAAAACAATATCTATTCAAGATGTGTAATACCTTCATCACGAATGGACTTGCATGGTTTATATATATTTCAACCAAAATGCAACTCCCATCTTCTGCTTCAAAAAGTTGGAATTTATAAATTCATGTTTTCCATTGTAAGTAACATTGAATTGCTTTAATGAATATATAAACCACATGGCTTTACAATCATATGCTTTTTTTAATGATTCAACTTGTGAGAAACGTGTGGTGAAGGTCAAAGTTGAAGCATCGCATGAGGTCCAAAAATGGGCACTTGCCAAAAGGCTTCCTGATTATAATGTTACGTAAGAAAAATATAATTTGTGTGCATTTTTATAAAATCTAATCTAATAACTCATATCTGTGTTTCTTATTTGTTATTTTGGGTGGGTCGTTGTTTCAAGCCTATTTATGTTTCAATGTTTGATACATATTCCAATCAAATTCCATTTTTAAAAGTACCTGAAGTAGTGGTTATTATCGAATGTAAAAAGGGTGTTAACCTTAAAGTTTACAAATGGATCCCATCTATATCATCTGGCATGTCGGCTTCATACTCAAGGATTTGATCATTAGGAGCTCTAATTTGGACAATATTCGACCGAGTTATGACGCCACTCTAATGTTATTTCAGCCTGATGGTTCCCACATGCTACAAATCCCTATCAAAGGTGTGCTTATTATGTTTGCCATTTTATCATTCATTGGAAGAAATCCATTGGTTAACTTTTTTTATGTGAAGTATCATGATTCATGAAGTTGTTTAATTTATCTTCAAGAAATTATGTTTGACATCATGCATGCAGGCAAAGATTGGAAGAAAAAAAGAGTTTGATGCAGCCCTAAGAGAACTTAGAGAGAAGGATGCTGATATATCTGAGGAGGTAGATGAAATCCAGGTGTTCATTTCAAAGCTCTCAACTTTTTTTTTTATTCTTTTTGTTAACGAATAAAAATTATAGAATTTTATGTGTTATCAATGGGGTCTTGAATATGTTGATAGGATTATCTAGAAACACTACAAAAGCTCCCAAAGGCCAAAATATTCCATTTGTTTCAGAGAAGATACTTGCGATCTGTATTTTCTTGATAACTCCTGTTGGCTACTTTAATAAAAAGATTTTTATAATTGTAGTCTGAATCTTGTTTTGACCATACATGGTACTTTTTTTATATTTTGTAATTGTAGTCTGAATCTTGTTGGCTATTAAAAAAATATATAACTTGCTCCTAGACATGATTGTGCTATTGAGTTTGATGTTGGAAGTGGAAGCTAAAATGTAACTTGCTATTGCTCATACAACTTTAGTTGGAATGTGAGTATCATAATTCATGCATTTTTATAAAAGTTTAAAAGATTAGTTTATGTTTTTTCTATATAAAAGATAAAATCTTTTTGTTGCTATTGTTGTAGTGTACAAAAGAACCTCATCGCCTTGTGGACTGTGAAACTGTGTCCAAGTGGATTATGAAGAAAAGTGCAGAGTCTGAAAATATGAATTTGTAAAGGTCTAAACTGCCCCTTGGCAGCTTTGCTGATCGAATTGCTAATGCTAAATGAGAAGTTAAAGAACATGGAATGGAACACAACAGGTGATTATTTTTAATTTTAGCACCAAATATTTAAAAATATCATTTTTTATGTTAACTCATAACCATAACTCAAGGTGCTATATCTTTTATCTACTATTTGTAATGTTGATCTGGTAATATTAGTTAATAACATATTTATATAACAACTCTATCAGATAGCTAAAAGTGATTATGTGATTAATAAAAGCTCTATTTTGTTTCAGCTAATGTTTTAGTCATTACTTGCCATCCACGACCGGTGGATAGCAACCCAGTATACCAGGTGGCAAACCAATAATATAGAGGATTTTTTTGACATGATATCTAAAACAAGAAGGTGCCATTAAATAGCAATGTAGTATTAGGTTATATAGTTAGAGAAAACCTCTTAATAACAGTGTACATTCCGATCCTTTTAATATCAATGTATTAAAAAAAATTGACATGATGTTATTAGAAGAAATTGATTGTTTTGGTATATATTTGTTTCCATATTTTTGTATTATGCGTAAATGAATATCATAAAGGCATGTCATAAATGCATATCGTAAATGGCAGCTAAAGTTTATGACACGAAAATGTGTGTCATCTTCATTTATGACAAGGGCTTTAATGATATGCAATGCGTGTCATAAATGCATCGTAAAGTTATGACACACAAATGCGTGTCGTCTTCCTTTACGACAGGGTCTTCCTTGATACGCATTGTGTGTCGTAAATGAGCATCATAAATGCGTGTCATAAATGCGCGTCGTCTATAGACAACGCGCAAAAGCGTGTCGTCTCTCGTTATGACAAGGTCTTCCTTGACACGCATTTGCGCGTCGTCTGAGCATTTTACGACACGCATTGCACGTCGTTAAAGACTGTTTTTCTAGTAGTGCCTATACGACCTTCTTGCCAAATATTCAAGAGATAGTGTGGATTCTAATCAAGACAGACACTTAACACAATTAGCCTTAGTTGGTCTTTATTTTATCCAGAACATCACGACTTACCAATTTCAAATGTACAAGAGTAGAAAACTTTTACTCTTACATTTGACAAGTGTTTTAAACCTTCTTTAAGACATGTCACTCAAGTTACAATCCTAGAGTATAACACTATGAATTGTTTTGGAATGAAGTATGAATCATCTTCTTGATTTAACCACTTCAACAATTCCTAACTCCTCTTCTTAACTATCATAATGTACTTAGAGGATGAATTGTGATAAAGTCTCAAAATCATTAAGATGACCTTAAAACATGATACTAAAGTACTCTCCCATCTTTTCAGATTTGAGAAACTTTTATCCTTCTACCTAATTTGATTCTTCTTATTCGTTCTGTCATACATTGAAAATTTTCCAATGTTTCAGAAGTATACTTAAGCTTGTAAGTATAATCATATTTACTAAACCTTAGTAAATCATGACGAATAGTCTTATCCATCTTTTGTGGTGGACTTTGACAAGTGCACAAGAAAGTGTACTTGATCCCTTAGTCCTTCTCTTGACTCACACATCCATGTGAACAAGTAGTTAGTCTTAATTTTTCCAATGCTCGAAAGTTCTCATTCATCATACTATACAACTTTCATGATTGCAAGTTTCGGTCCAATTGAAACTTGGATGATGAGAATCTTTCCTTATTTGGTAAATTTAGACACTACCACAAATGAACGAATCAAATTCATATTTCCAATATTGCTATAAACATACAAACATCAAGTTTTCATGAATGCCATTGTAAGGAGATAAAAATAAAGTAAAACAAACTTTTATTTATTTTAAAATGAGGAAAAAACTTTTTCCTTACAATGTAACTTGAAATGAAAACTATGTTATTACTTGTTTCTTAGCAATCTATCATAACTCCTAAGAGTAACTCAAGAATCCAATCTTCAATCAAGCGATAGAAATCCATCTTCGCAATCAGATTCAACATACTCTTTTTTTAAGTTTCCTTCACATTTCCTTTGATTCTTAAATATCAACATGTGACTCAGTCACATCTTGTAATAAGAATCTCATAATATAAACTTAACCGAGTTAGATAGTGGACCTTAGCTGAAATAGAGTCAAACTTATTGAGTTTCCTAGCCTTATGATCTTTCAGGTAAAATTGACAGCTTCGCAACCAATGCCCTTTCCTTTTGGCAATAAGACCATATGGACCCTTAGGTAATAGTACATGGGACTATCTCAGACTTATCCTTTCTCTTTACCATTTGGTCAACCGAGTTGACTATGGCCGATCCCTTTCCATTGGGAAGAGAATGCTTTTCTAGATTTCGTGTGTCACTATTGTCCCTGTCCATAAAGTTTTGGGAAGTTGATCTCCTAATCAAATTTTCTTTACTAGTACACTAAATCATTTCTGATTTAGCAGCACCAAGCAAATAGATAAGATCATTAAGGGTCTTGTCATAGTCTATTTCATAGGAGTCCCAAGGAACTCACTATGTGACTTAGAAAGTGATTGAACCACTAACTTTCTTAAGACTTTGACATCCAACTCTCCCGGCTTGTCAGTATGTGACTTCATCTCCAAGATATGATCACACCTAGAACTTGCCTTGCCAATAGGGCTTGATTGACCTTGAACTTGTGGGTTAGGGAAAATAATTGGAGGAGGTGGAGGAAGTGAAGTTCCAAGATATTTGGGAAGATCATAGATGTCTGAACTAGACATCATTTAGGAGATATTCAAGATAGTTGATTTAAAGTCCTTAATATAACACCCAATATGAAATATTAAGGCTAGACCCCAACAAACTATTTTATAACTTGGAAGAGGGATGTCGTAATCCAAGCTATAGAATATTTGAAGGTAGGTGAATGATGATTCACCAATTTCCACCATAAAAAACGAAATAATTTATTAGGTTTTAATTGGATTTGAAACTCCTAGATCTTTTTAGATTCATTGAACTTGTCAATGGCATGTTTCAATCTCGAGTGTGCCCTTTAGGTTTTGTGACTAGGATGCTGAGGATCACAAAACAAGGTGTGAAGTAACCATGCAAATTACTTGGCACCCTTAAGTGTTTACCCCTTAATCGATGTGTTGGTTAACCACACACGCTCCATCAATACTATGATAAACATTAAGTTACCCTTTTCCTACCTTGTTAAATACGAGTTAGTGTGCCGGTTAACCACACACGCTCCACTAACCGACTTAAACAAAGTGCAAAGTGTAATTTCATGGACTAGCACCTTACTCACATTTTCCTAAGTAACTAAGATTGGGTATTTATAAAAGGTTTAGTTACTTAGTATTTATCATTAATACTTTTAATGAAAGGAGAATTATAGTCCTTGTCCTACCCGTTCGGCTAATGACCCTCCACCGGTCAAGGAAGCAGTGGGTGAGAGTGGACACCCATTAAACTGCCATTTTATAGGTAGTAACCTTATACCCCCTTATAGACTGGCTTCGTGAATGAGGCCTACTAACGGTAAGACTGACTTTACTCTTATACATACATATATATATATATATATATATATATATATATATATATATATATTATTAACTGATAATATTAGAAAGTATAAGAGTTGAATTTTAACTTTTAAAATTATAAGGTCTGGTTTGGAATTAAAGTATACATGGGGGGTAACTTTACAAATTCCAAAACTTGAAGACAAGTTTTGAAACTTTTCAAAACTCTTGGCTTTTTCATAACTTATAAGTTTAATTAAGGTTTAATAAAAAAAATTCAATTTCCATAACTTGAGGACAAGTTATGGAAGACATTAAATCATTTAATGATGACATTAAAAATAGAGACTCTTCTATTTTCATAACCTATGAGACTTATTGACACTTTAAAAAGAAAAACTCTTCATTTTCCATAACTTGAGGACAAGTTATTGAGTTCATAAAAACCATTAGATCAAATATTCCAATTAACACAATTATCAAATAATTTTTCTATGATCTAGATTAAACTCATAAGTAAAGATAATTCACATCAACAATTTTCAAGAAATTAGATAATCATATAAACTAATACAAATCTTTAAACTTTGACAATTATCATTTGAAGACTCTTGGACTTCATAACCTAAAGAGTTAATAAATGAGACATTTCACATCCATAACTTATGGAAGTTTCAAAACTCTTAAGATCATAACTTTAAAAAAACTTTTGAGTTCCAAAATTTTATGACAAAATTTGTAACTACTTAAAATCACCTAGATCAAACTTTTAAAACAAATAAAATAATCATATCATTCTATCTTTTAATAAATTGACCTAATTCAACTCTTCTAGTAAAGTGACTCAAATTTTACAAATAATTAATTTTTCATAAAATCAAGTAATTATCATAAAATTTGACAAACTTCATGTTTTTTTTTTCTTTTTTTTTTTTCATCAACTTGAAAAAAAATACATTTGCATCAAATATAGTAGAAAACAACCCATGGCTCTGATACCACTGTTGGGTTTTGGTATAATACAACATCCTATGGTGCACATACAACCCTAAATACCTTGGATCTATGTTTTCACTAATTATACATGCAAATGGTTTCCAAGGCATTAAACCTATAACTAGCATGCATTTGACATAAACCATATAATATACTAGTTAGGGAAACATACCTTTTATGTGGCTTGAAGTCTTTATGTATTTGGCCTTAAGAGCTTAGCACCAATAATATGAAATGCCTCAAATGGAATCACAACACACCTAGGACAAAGGTGGATTTTGAGAGAGAATTCCATGCACCAAACACCTCCATATTTCCCTAAGAAAAGAAGTGGTGATTTTGGCTATGGAGTAACCTATTTATATGTAGGATTCCAAGGGTCATGGGTATCACCCATAATCCATACCCATGGGTTTTATGATCCATGGTTCATGTGGCCCAACTCTTTATGTATCCATACAAAACTTGGTCCAACATGGATCATAAGCCCAACACATATAAATATAAA